CGACCTATGATGTTTTATTGTCAACGTTATTTTTTAGGGTCAATTTTGTCCAAAAAACCTCTCTAAGCAGTTTATTCCTATTTGACTCGTTTATTTTTAATTTATGACCATTAATTTAAGGGTGTGTTTTGGTTAGCCATTGGGGGTTATCCCCCATTACTAAGGTAATATCATCTTATACTTAGATTACCACGTTTGATTGTCAAGTAATATAGATTTCAATAATCTTCCAAAACCAATATAATATTAATTACTATTGGTTATATAAGAGGTAATCGGATCACCTCTATTTTCTTAAGTATTTTAAGATTATTTGTATCTTAACTTTGTTACAATTTTACCCCTTATTAATAAAATTTTAGGACAGTAGCCCTTATTACCTAAACAATTCTACATATTTATGGACAATTTTAGCTTTATACTCAAGATTTTTAAGATAGATACCCTTGTACTTCAAGCAAATTACATAAGACCACAGCTACCCCAACCACTTAGGAGGACTGCCAGCCCCACCATTGATAGTCATTGGAATAGTGCATGACCGACCGAATCTGGCCAAATGTCGGTAAGGTCGTTTTTGGCATGGATTTGTGACAGGGGCAACCCAGCCCCTTTGAGGGTAGGCATAGGGATAGGCCTCCTGAAGGCGACTAAATCACCTTAGCAAGTGCACTATCGTATTCAGTATAAGTGATGATTTGAGTATCGTCCCAAGAGATCAAGCGAATATTGTTAATTACCTAAAAACTACTTACACGTTATTTGAGAAAACAAATCTTATAGGGTAAAGTAACGAATTAAAAATACTAAATTGAACATAAATCATGTGATGGACTTTGCATATTTAATAGTTAGGGTACAGATTCCCCCCTAATTATGCTTGCAACCACTCTTAATACCTGTTTGTGCTATGAATTGGTAGGATTCTTCTAAGGCCAATTACCTTATTCAGGCATAATATTCAACTTAATAATACAGATCCCTATTCGGTTACTCTAAATTAAGAAGCATAATTCATCAATCCCTTACGACTAATTCGCCCTATTCGGTTTATGAATTAGATGAACCACAATTAATCCTAAAATCTCTATTCGATTACTTCTAGTTTTAATATGTTGTGCAATGTTATCCCATAGAACAATTATGAATATGAATTAAGCAATAAACCCTAACTTCTCTAATTGAAACATCATCAAGGTAATTGAATCATCCACATTCATAAAGCATTAACCTAACTCTTGCACAAATTCATAACATAAATTTGGTATTAAGAATAAAAATTGTTCAAAACATAATTAGGGTTTTATCCTCCCCTAACAAAAGAGATTTACTCCATCCTAAGACAAAGAAATAATAGAGAAAAAGGAAAGCATATTTAGATTTGAAAAGAAATAAAAATCAAACTCTTAATCTGATCTTCAGTCTTCAAGCCTTAAGAATGCATCTTCTCCTCTAAAAAATATGCAAAATTCGTCCTTTGACAACTGATCTCAATTTACTTAAATACCCAAGAATCCTAAGTGAAAAAGGAAAGAAAGAAACGCGCTAATAGTTTCTACCACAACCCTGGCAGTGGCCAATTTAAGTCCCACAGCCTAGGCCGTGGTGCTTCCTGTCTCTTTGTTCCATCACCATGGCCATGGTGACCTACCAAGGCATGGTCGTGGTCTTCAGACTAAAAGGCAATCTCAACTTCTTCCAGCTTTAAGTCTCAATTTCATTCCATACTCCAATCTACTCAATCAAAGCCTAAAAAAACATAAAGTTATCCAAATCAATAGTTACACCATTCATATCTCAACTTAACAAAACAACATAAAAACAAAGGAAACAAATGAGAAGTTAACTAAACTAACATCAAAACAACCCTAAAACACTCAAATTATGTAACTTATCAACTCCCCCAAACTTATCCTTTGCTCGTCCCGAGTAAAGAAAATATCAGAAAATAAACTCAACAATCATCAAGGATTCGCAGCATTCCCAAAATCAAGGAAAGAAATCAAACATGCTTTAAAATATATCATGCTACCAAACATACAACCCAGCTAATTGTGCAACTCCACTTTCCTCAACCTGATCTGCCTCACCAAGACTTTACTCAACCCCCTACTTATTTTTTTTTTTTGTTTCTTGTTTTTGTTTTTGTTTTTTTCAATTGCTTCTTCAGATTGTCACATCACCTTTTTATGCGAATGCACACATTTGTGATGAGTGCCCCCCGTTACTCAACAATGTCATAACACATAAAGTGCTTTGCATACTCATACTTCAAGCCACGGTTTGACACAAAAGTAAACATGGGGCTCATGAATACTCCTGGTTACTAAGCAGCTCGAACAGCAGAGTAGTTCATTCAAAAACAAACAAATAAGCATAGTTATTTATTTAAGATTGAATATACAGTTTTTTTTTTTTTTTTTTTTTTTTTTTTTTTTTTTTTTTTTTCATGTAGGAGTGAAGACAAGACTTAGCTAGTACTAAGAGAGTCAGTAATACACCGAATTTGCACAACCATCTAGAATTGCATACTCTTCCATTCCTAAAGATATGAGCATGTTTGAATCCTTTCATGACTGTACTCCCACTACTCCAAATGATTACAAAGTTCACACAAAAGCATTTTTTTTTCGGGGATATCACAAAGTTTCATTTGGGCTTGTATCAAAAGCATAAGCATAATAACCACCATGCAAAAAATAACAAAAAAAAAAAAAAAACAGCACACCACACCACACAATAAACTAAACACTTCATAAAAAACAAACCCACCAAACAAGAAACAGACTATCACCAATGCAACACAAACAAACACAATTCAACACAATCAAACTAAAATGCAATGTCCTCAATGCATGAAAAACAAAAACCAAAATAGAAATATGGAAAATAAAAATAGAACTTCCCTGAAAAAAGACGAGATTTTTTTTTTTTTTTTTTTTGAACATGACCACGGCTGTGTAAATTGACACATGTACCCCATGGTACAGGCTGGAATCTGCAAGCTTTTATCTTTTACATGGCCAAAATAACACAGGGTAGCCCATGTTTATTCTGCTCAAAATTGTCTTCTTCTCTTCTATCACTTAAGCTTCCCCATTGTACAGGCTGGAATCTGCACCCCAAGGTACAGTTCCAGCCTGTACCCCATGGTACAGGCTAGAATTTGCAAGCTTTTTATCTTTTAACATGGCCACACTACTATGTAAAATAACACAGGGTATGCCCATTTTTTTTCTGCTTCAAAATTGTCTTCTTCTTCTATCACTTAAGCTTCCTCCAAACTTGTTCCTTGCTCCAACGATAACAAAACAAAAATAAAAACAAAATCAAACAAAAATAAAATAATTGTAGAAGAGAGAAAAAAAAAGAAATTGATAGTTCTAATTTAGAGTCGTTAGCTTGACTTTCTCCACTTTCTTCATTTAAGAAACTGGATGGACGCTGTGTTTGGATACGTCCTCTAACATAGTGCTTCAAACGATGTCCATTAACTTTAAACGCTTCACCTGTCTTTCCATGGTGGATCTCAATTGCTCCAAAAGGTGTTACCTGGATTACCTCATATGGACCCGTCCATCTTGATTTCAGCTTTCCTGGGAAAAGACGAAGACGACTATTGTAAAGAAGAACTTGTTGTCTCGGGTCGAACTCCTTTTTCACAATGTGCCTATCATGCCATCTCTTTGTCTTCTCCTTGTACAAACTAGCACTCTTGTATGCCCAATGACGAAATTCATCTAGCTCACTCACCTGCAAAAGACGTTTAGCACCTACACATCAAAATTCAACAATTTAGTAGCCCAATAAGCTTTGTGCTCTAATTCCACCAGTAGGTGACATGCTTTTCCAAATGCTAACCTATAAGGTGACATACCTATAGGTGTTTTAAAGGTTGTCCTATATGCCCATAAAGCATCGTCTAACTTTGTCGCCCAATCTTTTCTAGAGGCACTAACAGTATTTTCTAAAATTCGCTTTAGCTCTCTATTAGAGACCTCCACTTGACCAGTAGTTTGGGTATGGTAGGGAGTGGCTACCTTGTGTGTGACTCCATATTTCTTTAAGAGTACATTAAATTGGTGATTACAAAAATGCTTCCCACCATCACTAATGATTGCCTTAGGAGTTCCATATCTAGTGAAAATATTCCGCCTAAGGAATTTGAGTACTATTCTAGAATCATTAGTTTTGGTGGCAATTGCCTCCACCCATTTAGAAACGTAATCTACTGCCACAAGTATAAAAGCGTTTCCATACGATGATGGAAATGGTCCCATGAAATCAATACCCCAAATATCAAAAATTTCACATACTAGTATATTATTTAAAGGCATCTCATCTTTCTTAGAAATATTATCTGTTCTTTGGCAACGATCACAAGAGGATACATACCTTTGAGCATCCCGAAACACAGTGGGCCAATAAAAACCTGATTGCAACACCTTTGCCGCTGTGCAATTCGCCCCGAAATGCCCTCCAGTTTCTCTATCATGGCAATGACTCAAAAAAGCTCTAATCTCTTCTTCTGGAACACATTTTCGAACAACTTGATCTGTACATAGTTTGTACAAGTACGGGTCTTCCCACAAATAATATTTGACATCAGCCAAAAATTTCTTCCTTTATTGGAATGTAAAATGCTTTGGGATCCAGCCTCCTGCAAGAAAATTAGTCAAATTAGCAAACCATGGAGATTTAGAAAAAGAAGAGCTAAGAGATAGAATTTGCTCATCAGGAAATTCTGCACTAATATCTCCCTCTTCAAGGATTGAATTATCTAGTCGGGACAAATGATCAGTAACTTGATTTTTTGTCCCATTTCGATCTTTAATCTCCAAATCAAACTCTTAAAGTAAAAGGACCCATCTGATAAGGCGTGGTTTGGCATCCTTCTTAGCAAAGAGATGTCGTAGAGCTGCGTGATTTGTGTAGACTATGGATTTCGTGCCTATGAGCTAGGATCTAAACTTCTCGAATGCGAAGACCAATGTTAGCACTTATTTCTCGGTTGTTGTGTAGTTCAGTTGCGGACCATTTAAGGTATGAATGGCATAGGATATGACATGAAACATTTTGTCTTTCCTTTGACCGAGAGCAGCACCGATGGCATAGTCACTCGCATCACACATAATTTCAAAAGGGTTGTTCCAATTTGGTACGACCACTATTAGTGCTATCACTAGCTTCTCTTTCAGCAAATTAAAGGCCTGCAAACATTCAGAATCAAAGTTAAATTTTATATCCTTGGCAAGAAGATTAGATAGAGGTTTTGCAATTTTTGAGAAATCTTTAATAAATCTTCTATAAAATCCCGCATGGCCAAGGAAATTTCTGACTGCTCAAACCGTTGTCGGAGGAGGTAATTTTTCAGTCACTTCCACTTTTGCTTTATCAACCTCAATCCCTTGCTCAGAGATCTTGTGTCCAAGCACGATACTTTCTCGTACCATAAAATGGCACTTCTCCCAATTCAGCACAAGATTTGATTCCTCACAACGCTATAAAACTAACTCAGGATTTTGCAAATAAGATTCAAAGGTTAGTCCATACAACGTAAAGTCATCAATGAAAATTTCCAGAAATTTTTCAGTCATGTCAGAGAAAATTGCCATCATGCAACGTTGGAAAGTAGCTAACGCATTACATAAACCAAATGGCATACGTCGATAAGCGAACGTGCCATAAGGACAAGTAAATGTTGTTTTCTCTTGGTCCTCTAGAGCAATAGGAATTTGATAATAACCAGAATAGCCATTAAGAAAACAGTAAAATTTATTTCCCGCTAATCTCTCTAACATTTGATCAATAAATGGCAATGGGAAATGGTCTTTTCTAGTGGCAGAATTTAATCTTCTATAGTCTATACACACACGCCATCCAGTTACCATCCTAGTGGGGATAAGCTCATTATTTTCATTCTTCACTATAGTCATTCCCCTTTTTTTAGTCATTACTTGCATAGGACTAACCCAATTACTATCAGAGATAGGATAAATAATACCTGCATCGAGTAATTTTACCACTTCCTTTCGTACCACTTCTTGCACGATAGGATTTAATCTCCTTTGAGGTTGTATTGTTGGCTTGAAATTCTCTTCCATGAGGATCTTATGCATGCAGATGGAAGGGCTTATTCCCTTGATATCAGCAATTGTCCACCCCATAACCTTTTCATGCTTCCTCAAAATGTCTAGCAGTGACTTCTCCTCCAAATCTATCAAAGACGCAGAAATAATCACAGGGTAAGCATCTTTATCTAGAAAAACATATTTTAAATTTGAAGGAAGAGGTTTAAGCTCAAGTTTAGGAGCCTCATTAGGAGTTTTATGCAAATCCTCCTTTAGCTCCATATTATTATCAGTCAGAGATTCTTTCTCTAACGCTTCAACTTCTTCTCTCAAGCACGGGTCTTCATCTTCTGTTGTGCTTGACTCCATTAGACATCTCTCCAAAGAGTCCTTCTGTAAACCTTCTTCTCTGTGATCACCTACAATCCCACCAAAACTGTCAGAGTGAAAACAAGATTCAATATAAAATGCAATAAGATTTTTCATCGCTTTATGGACATCAAACATTATTTCATCATCACTTAGTCTTAGAATTAATTTTCCTTGTTGCATGTCTATCAAAGCACGAGTTGTCGCCAAAAATGGATGTCCCAAAATTAGAGGCACCTCCCAGTCCTCCTTCATATCAAGAACTACGAAGTCCACCGGAAAGATAAATTTTTCGACCTTTAACAAAATGTCTTCAACAATGCCTTTAGGTCGTTTGGTTGATCTATCAGCAAGCTGGAGTGACATGTTTGTCTCTTTCACTTCTCCAAGTCCTAGCTTCCTGAAAATTGATAAAGGCATTAAATTAATACTAGCACCTAAATCAGACAATGCTTTATCAAAGAATGAATCTCCTAATGCACAAGGTATAGTAAAACTCCCTGGATCTCTCAATTTAGGAGGTAATTTATTTTGCAGTATGGCACTGCATTCTTCAGTGAGCATAATTGTTCCATGCTCCTCGATCTTCTGCTTGTTAGAAAGGATGTCTTTTAAGAACTTTGCATAACTAGGCATATGTGCTAAAGCTTCAGCAAATGGAATATTTATTTGCAATTTCTTAAAGATCTCTAAAAACTTTGAAAATTATTGATCCAGTTTATTCTTTCTAATTCTATCGGGATAAGGAAATTTAGATACATCTTTTTCAACAACAATAGAATCATAATTTGACATACCTTTTCCTTTACCTCTTGCAATTTCCTTTACCTTAGTCTCTGTCTCTTTTTCTGAATTCGCTTTCTTTTCTTCAATAGAGACCGGTAACTCTGCTTCACTTTTCGCCTTCTTTTGTGATTCTTCTTCACCAATCACCTTTCCATCTCTCAAGGTTATGGCCTTACATTGCTCATTCGGGTTCCTTTCTGTGTCACTCGGTAAATGCCCTTGCTGTCTACCCGAAATGATATTGGCCAACTGGCCAATTTGAGCTTTTAAATTCTTGATGGAAGCCTCTTGATTCTGAATTCTTGTCTCTGTAGTACTCAAGAACTTCGCCATCATCTCCTCTAAATTTGATTTCTTCTCTTGAGATTGAAAACCTGGCGGTGGAGGTTTCACTTGATTGTTGTTACTCTAAGAGAAATTTGGGTGATTCCTCCACCCAGGATTATATGTTTCACTGTATGGATTATTATTAGGCCTGCAAAAATTTGAAACATAGTTAGCTTGATTAGGCATAGAATTAATAGCAAACATGTTACCTAATTGACACTCATGGTTAGGGTGATCTTCGCCACAAAAATCATACATAGAAGCAACTATTGTAGGTTTTTGCATTTGAAGTCCACCAATCTTCTTATTTAATGCCTATATTTGTGCTGTCAAAGCTATGATATCATCTATGTTATGAACACCTGACATTCTTCTCACAGGCAACCTCTCTATCGGCCATTGATAAGAGTTTGAAGCCATTTCTTCCAGCAATTCATAAGCTTGTTCTGTTGTCTTCTTACCTAAAGTACCACCTGCAGCAGCATTGACCATATTTTGAACTTCACTATTAAGACCATTGTAGAACGTTTGGACTTGCAGCCAAATCGGTAATTCATGGTGGGGACATCTCCGGAGCATGTCCTTAAACCTTTCCCATGCTTCGTATAGTGACTCTGTATCTACCTGCACAAACATAGTAATATAATTACACAATTGTGCAGTCTTTGCAAGAGGAAAATACCTACTCAGGAATTTTTGTGTCATTTGCTCCCAAGTTGTAATCGAGCCTGCTGGTAATGAGGTCAACCAACTCTTAGCTTTGTCTCTTAATGAAAATGGGAACAATCTTAGTCTTATAGCTTCGTCGGAAACTCCATTGTGCTTAAAAGTATCACAAATCTCCAGGAAATTTGCAATATGTAAGTTGGGATCTTCGTCTGCCAAACCACCAAATTGCACTGACTGCTGAATCATCTGGATGATTGCTGGCTTTATCTCAAAGGTGTTGGCATTGATCACTAGTCGTCAAATGCTTGATGTTGCTCCATTTAGAGATGGGGTAGAGTACTCATTCAATGTACGAGTTGCTGGTGGTGTTCCATCATTTTGGTTATTGTGATCACCCATGATCTCCCTTTTGATTGCTTTCTTTCTTAAGTGAAAAGTGCGCTTATCTCATGATCAAATGCTAGTAAAATCTTTCCAGAGGCTCTGGTCATACACTAGCAGAAACACCTATAGGTTTCCAATAAAATAAAAATAAAAAAAAAATCTCAAAGTAACAAGTAATCTTAAAATAATCAGAAACAATCTAATGATCCCCAGCAACAGCGCCAAAAGCTTGATGCGACTAAATCACCTTAGCAAGTGCACTAGTCGTGTTCAAGTAATAAAGTGATGAATTTGAGTATCGTCCCACAGAGATCAAAGCGAATATTTGTAATTACTTAAAACTACTTACACGTTATTTGAGAAAACAAAATCTTATAGTGTAAAAGTAACGGATTAAAAATAACTAAATTGAACAAATAAATCATGTAATGAACTTTGCAATATTAATGAAGTTAGGGTACAGATTTCCCCCTAATTATGCTTGACAACCACTCTTAATACCTGTTTGTGCTATGAATTGGTAGGATTCTTCTAAGGCCAATTATCCTTATTCAGGCATAATATTCAACTTAATACAGATCCCTATTCGGTTACTCTGAAATTAAGAAGCATAAATTCATCAATCCCTTACGACTAATTCGCCCTATTCGGTTATGAATTAGATGAACCACAAATTAATCCTAAAATCTCTATTCGATTACTTCTAGTTTTAATATGTTGTGCAATGTTATTCCCATAGAACAATTATGAATATGAATTAAGCAATAAACCCTAACTTCTCTAATTGAAACATCATCAAGGTAATTGAATCGATCCAACATTCATAAAGCATTAAACCTAAACTCTTGCACAAATTCATAAACATAAATCTGGTATTAAGAATAAAAATTGTTCAAAACATAATTAGGGTTTTATCCTCCCCTAACAAAAGAGATTTACTCCATCCTAAGAACAAATAAATAAATAGAGAAGAAGGAAAGCATATTTAGATTTGAAAAGAAATAAAAATCAAACTCTTAAATCTGATCTTCAGTCTTCAAGCCTTAAGAATGCGTCTTCTCCTCTAAAAAATATGCAAAATTCATCTCTTGACAACTGATCTCAATTATACTTAAATACCCAAAAGAGTCCTAAGTGAAAAAGGAAAGAAAAACGCGCTAATAGTTTCTACCACAACCCTGGCAGTGGCCAAATTTAAGTCACCACAGCCTAGGCCGTGGTGCTTCCTGGTCTCTTTGTTCCATCACCATGGCCATGGTGAACTACCAAGGCATGGCCGTGGTCTTCAAGATTGAAGGGCAATCTCAACTTCTTCAAGCTTTAAGTCTTAATTTCATTCCAATACTCCAATCTACTCAATCAAAGCTTAAAAAAACATAAAAGTTATCCAAATCAATAGGTAACCATTCATATCTCAAATTTAACAAAAACAAACATAAAAACAAAGGAAACAAATGAGAAGTTAACTAAAATAACATCAAAACAACCCTAAAAACACTCAAATTATGCAACTTATCACCTACCCTCAAATTTTATTAATAAATAAATAAAAAACCAAATTTTTCTGTAGAAAAGTCTTCCCTAGAATCTCTCCTTATCCTTTGGGATTCTATCTGTCTTTACTAATTTGATCATTTTGTCCTCCCTGTTTCCCCTAAATTAGTCCATATAATATACCACACAAATCACTATTAATTGTAATTTTTAATTCTATGACCTGACATCATTGTCTATAAAAAATCAAAATCTAATTTACACCTGTGTAACTACAACTAGTGTTACTGATCTTCAGCCTTGATTCTAGTATGAAAATCAGGAATCTTCAACCTTGATTCTTGCATTAAAATTGGAGATTTTTTATTTCTTTCTTTTTTAGTTTGTTCCTAAGCTTGTATAAATAGCTAGTTTGTTTCTAGCCATAATCAACACATAATAAAAAGCATTATTCTCTCAAAAATCTACATGGTATCAGAGCAAGGTTGTTGAAACCTCTCTGCCATCTCTTTTCTCAGTTCTTCCTACCGAAATCTCTCAGCTCTTTCCACCAAAATCTCTCAGCTTTTCCTGCTAAAACTTCTCTCAGCCTAAATACCATTCTTTCAATCTTCCATTACAAAGTACGGAATGGCAATTGATAAAGAAGCAACTACCGAGAATATCTCTGAAGTCACAACTGGTCAAAGAATTACTAGTTCAAACAACAACCATGTTTCAGTTAAGGATAAACCAACAGATCCAAACCCAAGTCCATTCAGCAAGGAACAATTGGAACTTCTACAAAAATTGATCACTCAATCCATACAAGGTTCATCATCTTCCAATTCCAATTCTGTCCTAGGATCTAGATCTTTGGCCCAAAAAGGTAACTTTCTCATAGCCTTAAATGTAAGAAAAGAACATGGAAACTATTGGATTATCGACTCTTGTATATCTGATCACATGTTAGGAGATATTACAATGTTTAAAAATTATACACCTCATGCTGGAAATTTCACTATTCATATTACAGATGGTTCTCTCTCAAATGTAGTTGGCATTGGGTCTATTATTATTTCCAAGGACCTACCCCTTGAATCTGTTCTTTTTGTTCCTAATTTTGATTGTAATCTGCTATCTATTAGTAAACTCACTCGGGATAAGAATTATGTTACTAAATTTTTCCCAAATTATTTTGTTTTTCAGGATCTGAATTTGAGGAAGACAATTGGTTGTGCTGATATGTGCTCGGGTATCTATATCCTCAACACCACTGATTTTCCTAATAGACAACCTTAATCCACAGGTGTTAAAAATTATCTTTTTCTGTTTGTGTTCCAAATAATGAGAATAGTGTTATGTTATGGCACTATCGTTTGGGTCATCCTAATTTTAGGTATCTTATAAAAATTTTCCCATCATTATTTAAGAATAATTCCAAGAATTTTCAGTGTGAAATATGTCAGTTATCTAAACAAGTTCACAACTTTTACCCAACTCAGTTTTATAAATCATCTTACCCTTTTTCAATGATTCATAGTGATGTCTGGGGACTATCTAGAATAAGAAATGTTACTGGCACTAGATGGTTTTTTTTCATTCATTAATGATCATACTAGAATTTCTTTGGTATTCTTATTGAAAGACAAATCTAAAGTAAGTCAAATTTTCAATGATTCAAACACAATTCCATGTCAAAATACAAGTTTTGAAAACCGACAATGCAAAGGATTATTTCAATTCTTTTCTAGGTAATTACTTGTTAAAAGAAGGAATAGTTCATGCATTGATACCCCACACCAAAATGGGGTAGCTGAAAGAAAAAATAGGCACTTGTTAGAAGTTGCAAGATCACTCATGTTCTCCACCAATGTTCCAAATTTTTTTGGGGGAGAAGTTGTTCTCACTGCCACTTATCTCATAAATAGAATGCCTTCTCGTGTGTTAAATTTCCAAACTCCTTGTCAAATCCTGCTCAAATCATATCCTCATACCCGGCTAATTTCCACTCTTCCACCAAAAGTGTTTGGTTGTATGGCCTTTGTTTACAATAAATAACCAAACCAAAGTAAACTTGATCCAAGGGCTATTAAGTGCATCTTTCTAGGGTATTCATCGAATCAAAAAGGATACAAGTGTTACTCCCCCATCACAAGAAAATTCTACAACACAATGGATGTAAACTTTTTTGAAAACCAGCCATATTATCCCAAAAATGACATTCAAGAGGAGAATAGAATCCAGGAATATCAATCTTGGGAAACATAACATATTGAGACACCTATAGTTCCCATAGCCGAGATATATACCAATAAGAATACCTGAATCTGAAATGCTCATTATCAATTCTGAGTCTAATCCTTCTGAAGCAGAGTCAAGTACTCCAACTCCATTCTTTTCTCAACTAACTCAATCTTAAAATTCTGAGTCTAATCCTTCTTAAACCAAGTCAAGTACTCCAACTCCACTCATTTCTC